CAAAAGCTAAAATTAAAAAGTTGTGGCTTGGGAAATAGATGGTTTAGTAGGTAAACCAAATGCTTTGTGAGCAAGCAAAGAAAGCCAAGGAATTAATTAATTTCTTTTTTAAACATCAAATTTTCAATGTTTGAAATTATCACCTCATGCATTCCTGTTGTTTTTTGTTCCCCTTTGGTATTACATCTGGAAAAGTTTTTTAGTTTTAATACGGGAAAACACATAATAACCAACCCGAACCTGAATCTGCTTCCTGCATACCTGGAAATGGAATCAAAGCTTTTTTCACAGCTATACCAGTTAGGTGGTGTTGCAGTTGGCAAGGAGTTCAGTCAAGGCTGTTCTTTTCCCAAAAGCCAAGACAAATATTCATGTATGTGCTCTGAGGCACAGCCAGGACGGCTGCAGCCCCTCCCTACATGGAGGGGCTTCTGTAGGGGTTTCAGCCATGTGAATCTGGTTCCCATCAGAAGATGAAAACTTGGGCTGAAGCCGCAGCATCGTGCAGCTCCGAGCCTGGCTCTGGGGTCTCAGCTCACTCTCTTTACTGTGTTTGCAGCTGGGTTCACACAGATCTAATCCCTGCTTTTTGCTGCAAAGTCGTGTGCATTTGTACAGGGCCATTTCAAATCCCTCTGCAGCATCTTCTACCATTTGTGGCAGCGACTGTTTGAGTGGTACCTCTTATAGATACATAATATAATATTGGCTTTTAACAAATGGATTTTATATGCGTGACGTTAAAGTAACTTTGTTATAATGATGTAGTTATAGTTATAGTTATAAAGAGAGAGTTTTTATTCTGTTATTAATTAAGCTTAAACGTAGTAGTGAAATAGGTATGCGTGTGTTAAAATGCCTGCTTGGATGAGATAACATCCAGTGAATGTAGGATGAGGATGAACCTGCTACAGATATGCCAGCTATCAGGAGTCACCGTCTGAAGGCAGTGTGGACCAAGGCCCAAACTTGATGTGATAAAGAGAAGGAGCCAAAACCACAGCCAAAAAATATGCCTGCTCTAAAATGCGGAACCAAGGAGGAGCCAAGTAAAAGACTCCCTGGAAAATCAAAACTTGTACATGGATATGCATAAGGGTCTAAGGATATGCAACAGGATGATGTAAGGGAAAAGTTATTTAAGAGGTATTCCTGAAGGTGACAGTGTGCTCTTGGCCGAGTGCCAAGATGCACCCAACCCTAATAACCTTTCCTTTATTAAACTTTTAAAAATTTCACAGAAGAGTGGATGTATTTTGCACAGTACCCAAGGCAGGCTTCCATCAGCATCCAGGGTGGTTGTTCTGCCAGGAAATGTCCTGTGGAATGACAGGGTTAGTGCTGTTGCCCATCACTGGACGGGAGGAGCAGCTGGGGCAGAGGCTCGCTGCAATGAGGGGGCAGCTCGGCTTCCTCGGGTGCAAGAGGAGAGTTTCCAATCAACTGGAGCTCTTTAGCTCAACAAGTGGAAATGGAGCTCTCTTCGGAGTGGTGGTTGAGTGTGACCGGACAGGCCGGCTTCAGAGCGGCGCTGGCAGTTAGCACGGCACGAATCACACGACAATTTCCTGTGCCACGAGCTAAAGTGGGAGCAGCGGGCCGGGAGTGAGCGAGGCAGGAGCGGGACAGGCGCTGCGCTAAGGAGCGGAGCCTTGCGGGTGCAGGGTGGTGGTGCCAAAAGTGGAGCTCCGGGGCAGACAGGGCGGTGACCTCAGAACGATTGCGCAATCGCCTCTAAAAACTATTTATAGAGGGAGCAGCGGGCCGGGATCCCGGCCCCGGCAGCAGCGGGCCAGGCGCTGAGGTGAGCGGAGCTCGGGGGCTGCGAGCGGGCGATTCCAGCAGGACGCGGCCCCTCCATCCGCACGGGCCGGAGGTGCCCCAGGGCCCGGGCAGGGCTGGGCCCCGCGGGCAGCCCCGGGCAGCCGCGTCCCGGCAGCGGAGCGGCCCCGAGCCGGCTCCGGCCGAGCACTGTCGCTGCGCTCTGCCCTGCGCTCAGCCAGCCCGGCGGAGCCCGCACGGCCCCACCCAAACACCCCGAGATGGGACAGGACAATTGCAAACCCCAGCCCGGGGACCTGATCGTGATTGATCAGGAATTTCACCAGCACTGGGCCCTCTACGTGGGGGATGAATATGTCATCCACCTGACAGGTAAGGTTTGTACTGCCTGGGAAGGGGCTGAGTGGGTGTTGGGCTGCCCCAAGAGTGCTGTCTGCCTCCCTGGGCTGTGGGTGGATGCTGTGTGCATAGCTGTCCTTTCCAGGAGTAGTCAGAAACCCATCTGAGGACATGGAGAGGCCAGAGAGGGTCTGCCTGCCTGAATTACCTTCTCCTTGGCTTATGCAGACGAAAGACCCCCATTCATTTTCACTAGAAGCTCATTACATGCCACAAGAGCCAGGGTGAAGAAGCAGCTCCTGAGGGAAGTGGTGAAAAATCATAAATGGCGTGTCAACAACAAGTATGACCACTACTGCTATCCTCGCCCCGAGCGGCTGATCATTCGGCGTGCTGAGCAATTGGTTGGCAAGGAGGTGCCATATAATATGTTAAGCAAAAACTGACAGTGGAGGACGTTTTTTGGTGGTAAATGGCGCATTCCTGATATGAGATATCACAAGGACTACCCCAGCCCTGCAGACCTGATTGAGATCAAACAGGAACCTTATGAGCACTGGGCCCTGTACATGGGGGATGGATATGTCATCCATATGACACCTCTAGGTAAGGCTGGTGCAGCCTGGCAGGGTGCACAGGCGGCGTTGGGCTGCTCCACGACCCTCTTCTTCCCACATCCCCTCCTCAATATGGAGCCTGAGCCTCTAAAAACTATTTATAGAGGGAGCAGCGGGTCGGGATCCCGGCCCCGGCAGCAGCGGGCCAGGCGCTGAGGTGAGCGGAGCTCGGGGGCTGCGAGCGGGCGATTCCAGCAGGACGCGGCCCCTCCATCCGCACGGGCCGGAGGTGCCCCAGGGCCCGGGCAGGGCTGGGCCCCGCGGGCAGCCCCGGGCCGCCGCGTCCCGGCAGCGGAGCGGCCCCGAGCCGGCTCCGGCCGAGCGGGGCCGCCGCTCCGGCAGCCGCTGCCCTCGGCGCCGCCGCTGACACCCTCCGTGCCTGCGCTGCCGGCAGCTGCCCCTGCACAGCCCTCGCCTCCCCGCTGCGCTCTGCCCTGCGCTCAGCCAGCCCGGCGGAGCCCGCACGGCCCCACCCAAACACCCCGAGATGGCACAAGGCGGGCGCGACCCCCGGCCCGGGGACCTGATCGAGATCGACCGGCCAGGTTACCAGCACTGGGCCCTCTACGTGGGGCGTGGATATGTCATCCACGTGACAGGTAAGGCTTGGATTGCCTGGCACAGTGCTCAGTGGGTGTTGGGATGCCCCAAGAGCCCTGTCTTCCTCCATGGGCTGGGGGTGGACTCTGTGTGTGTAGATGTCCTTTCCAGGAGGAGTCAGAAACCCATCTGAGGTCCTCGAGGGGCCAGAGAGGATCTGCCTGACTGCACTGTCTCCTCCTTGGCTTATGCAGATGAAGGAGCCACATCCCTTACGCTTAGCAGCTCTTCCATACGCGCCACAACAGCCAAGGTGAAGAAGCAGCTCCTGAAGGAGGTCGTGGGAAATGATGAATGGCGTGTGAACAACAAGTATGACCGCTACTACACTCCTTTCGCTGTGGAGAAGATCATCCAGCGTGCTAAGCAATGGATTGGTAGGGAGGTGCCATATGATGTGCTTAACAGAAACTGTGAGCACTTTGTGACAGAGCTCCGCTATGGAGTAGGAGTCTCTGAGCAGGTGAGTGTCCCGGGGTGAGCCCCTGGTGCCTCCCAGAGCCCCTCCTGGCTGCTGGCTGTGAGCTGGGCACTGGGACACAGCCTGCAGCCTGCATGGGGACAGCCCAGTGCCAGGCGTGGGCTCCAAAGTGGCTTTACTTGTTCTGATTATCCCTGCCTGTTCTCAATTACCATGCCTGTGGCCAGATGAATGTGCTCATCGTGTTTGCATCCTGAGTTTTGCTTTCTCTTTGCCTGACAAGATAGCAATTGTTTGCATGCTGGCAGTAGGGTCTGTGCTGTTGCCTTCACTGTATGAGTGGGCTTGGTGGGGCTGAAATCCAGAGAGAAAGAGAGCTCTCATGGGCCATCAGGAAAAGCTCAGAGAAAGGCAGGGATTTCCTAGCAGTGTATGGTTCCTGTCCTGCTTTTGGTTTTTCTTATTGAAAGAATTAAATGAAAGCCTTTATAAAACATAAAAACCCAAACTCATAGTGCATAGACTCTTCTTTAATCTGTATACAGCTTTGTGTGCAACTTCAGCATTGTGGCCTTGCTTCTCCCTGCCATTCCATTAAGAAATACAAAGTCAAGCATATCTTCATTCAAGGTGATCCACAGCAGCACTGGCCAGTGTGTCATATCTGCTTTTACTTTTTGTCTGTGATTATTTTTGTGGTTATCTGCAAGCACTTGAAACCAAATTTTGCTTTCTTTACATTGTCACCTCTGCCCAATGCTTTGCTGAGGCCTGGTGCAGACCTTCTATTCCCATCCAGCTTTTATCAACTACATCCTATTGGTTCTTTCTATGAAAGATTTAACCTTAATTATCCCACCAAGTACACTAAATTTACTGCTGTGTTTACAGTCTATTTTGCAGAAGATGACTTTTGTAGGTGGTAAAATACCCACTCCTGATACGAGATATGGCAAGGACTACCCCAACCCTGGGGACCTGATTGACATCAAAAAGGGAAGTTATGAGCACTGGGCCCTGTACATGGGGGATGGATATGTCATCCATATGACACCTCTAGGTAAGGCTGGTGCAGCCTGGCAGGATGCAGAGGAGGGGTTGGGGTGCTCTAGGAGCCTCTTCTTCCTCCATGGGCTGCTCCATATGGATCCTGAGTGTGTAGATGAGCTTTCCAGGAGCAGTCCAAAAGCCATCTGAGGTTGTGGAGGGGCCAGAGAAGATGCACCTGCCTGCCTGCCTTGCCTCATCTCCTCCCTGCTTTCCTCAGATGAAAATGCTGCACCCTCGTCAGCCAGCAGTGAGACAATACCCATCAGAAAGGTCAAGGCTACAAAGGAGCTCCTGAAGGAGGTGGTGGGAAATGATGACTGGGCTGTCAACAACAAGTGTGATGGTTACCGCACGCCTCTGCCCGTGGAGGAGATCATCCGGCGTGCTGAGGAACAGATTGGTGAGGAGGTGCAGTATGATGAGCTTGGCATGTACTCTGAGGATTTTGTGAAAAGTCTCCGGTATGGTGGCCAGGTGAGTTTCCCGGGGTGAGCCCCTGGTGCCTCCCAGAGCCCCTCCTTGCTGCTGGCTGTGAGCTGGGCACTGGGACACAGCCTGCAGCCTGCATGGGGACAGCCCAGTGCCAGGCGTGGGCTCCAAAGCAGCGCTGCCTCCCCAGAGCCCCTGGGCCTGGAGGGTCCCTGTGCTCTGCCTGCAGCCTGCCAGTGCCCTCTGACTGAGTGCCACCTCCTGGGGGCACAAACCTGCCTGTTACCCCTTCTGATAATGGGACACATGGCTATTGTTGATTTACTGTTCTGATTATCCCTGCCTATTCCCCATTACCATGCCTTTGGCTAAATGAAAGTGCTATTTGTGTTTCCAGCCTGAGTTTTGCTTTCCCTTTGTCTGCTAAGATAGCAATTATTTGCACACTGGAAGTAGGATCTGTGCTGTTGCCTTCACTGTGTGTGTGGGCCTGCTGGGGCTGAAATCCAGATAGAAAGAGGCACTGATGGGCCATCTGGAAAAGCTCAGAACAGAGCAGGGAATCCCTGGCTGCACTGGGTCTCTGCCCTGCTTTTGCCACACTTTATAGGAAGTATAAAATGAAAGCTTTAATAAAATGCATACCCCCAAACTCATCACACCTAGAATCTTCTTTTGTGTGAATATAGCTTAGCATGCAGATTCAACATTCTGGCCTTGCTACTCCCTGCCCTCCCATTAAGAAATACCAAGTCAAGCACATCTTCATTCAAGGTGATTTCCGGAAGCACTGGCCAGTTTATCACATCTGCTTTTCCTTTTTGTCTGTGATGAATTGTGTGGTAGTCAGCAGGCACTTGAAAGCAAATTTTCCTTTCCTTAGGCTGCCACCTCCCCTGCAGTGTTTTGCTGAGGGCTGGTGCAGGCCTTCTCTCATCACCCTGCTTTTATCAGCTACATCCTATTGGCTCTTTCTATGGAAAAACTGATTTTAACCTTAACTTCCTCAAAACTTAAGCTACATTTACTGCTGAAGGTTCTGTGTGTGTTTTCCAGCTAAGGGCTTTATTAAGTGGTGAAATGCACATTCCTCACATTACAGATGACAAGGTCAATATCTGATTGTCCCAAACCTGGGGATCTGATCGAGATCTATCGGCCAGGGTACCAGCACTGGGCCCTCTACCTGTGGAGTGGATATGTCATCCATGTGACAGCTGTAGGTAAGGCTGGTTCATCCTGGCAGGTTGTAGAGGGGCTGTTGGGGTGCTCCAGGAGGCCTCTGTCCCTCCTCTGGCTACTAGTGGACCCTGTGTGTGTAGATGAGCTTTCCAGGAGCAGTCCAAAAGCCATCTGAGGTTGTGAAGGGGCCAGAGAAGATCTGCCTGCCGGCCTTATCTCTTCCCTGCCTTCCCCAGATGGAAATACTTCATCCTTGTCAGCCAGCAGCGTGACAATAATCACTAAGAGAGCGAAGGTGGCTAAGGAGCCCCTGGAGAAGGTGGTGGGAAATGATACATGGCATGTCAACAACAATAATGACCGCTTCCGAACTCCCCGCCCCATTGGGGTAATCATCCAGCATGCTATGGAATGGATAGACAAGAAATGGCGATATGAATTGCTTTACAGCAACTGTGAGCACTTTGTGACCATGCTTCGCTATGGAGATGGAATCTCTTGGCAGGTGAGTGTCCCGGGGTGAGCCCCTGGTGCCTCCCAGAGCCCCTCCTGGCTGCTGGCTGTGAGCTGGGCACTGGGACACAGCCTGCAGCCTGCATGGGGACAGCCCAGTGCCAGGCGTGGGCTCCAAAGCAGCGCTGCCTCCCCAGAGCCCCTGGGCCTGGAGGGTCCCTGTGCTCTGCCTGCAGCCTGCCAGTGCCCTCTGACTGAGTGCCACCTCCTGGGGGCACAAACCTGCCTGTTACCCCTTCTGATAATGGGGCACATGCCTCTCACAGATTCATTGCCCTGGTTATGTCTGTGCTTTCAATGTTATCGTGCTAGGCTGTTGTAAATATAAGCTCTCATCATGTTTGCAGCCTGTGTTTTGCTTTCACTTTTATAGGTCGAGGAAGCAGCTTTTGACGGTGTTGCCGCAGTAGCCGTAGGTGTTATTGGAGCTGTTGCCGCTGTAGCTGCGAAGGCATTCCTGAGGAGATAGTGCTGCTGATTGCTTGTCGGGAAGACCTCCGAGCATCGCAGGGGGTGATCCTGGCAACGGTGTTCACTGGTCAGCTTTTGCTACAGCTGTCCTCAAGGATTTCTAGCAACAGGGTACAATTGGTGTAAACGTTAAATAAGCCACAAGGAAATTTCTGAAATCTAAACTCCTATTTCCCCGAAATTTTTGTTTATCTATCTCAGTATAACATTGTCTGCCAGTTTAACATTTTTGCATTGATTCTCCCTGCCATCCCAGTAATGAATAACAAGTTGAGATTGTCACCATTCAAAGTGATCCCCAGCAGCTCTAGCCTGCTTGCCACGTGAGATTTTATTTTACTGTGTGTGATGGTTTTTGTGGTAGTCTGGGAGAAATTGCAAGCAAGTTAGCCATTCCTTCCCCACCCCACACACCTCCCCTGGAGTGCTTTGCTGAGCACTGGGGCAGACTTTTCCTCCTGATTTGAGCAGCGAGTTCCTGGAGGCTCATTCTGTGTATCAGTGAAATTGGGACACAGCCTGCAGCCTGCATGGGGACAGCCCAGTGCCAGGCGTGGGCTCCAAAGCAGCGCTGCCTCCCCAGAGCCCCTGGGCCTGGAGGGTCCCTGTGCTCTGCCTGCAGCCTGCCAGTGCCCTCTGACTGAGTGCCACCTCCTGGGGGCACAAACCTGCCTGTTACCCCTTCTGATAATGGGGCACATGCCTCTCACTGATTTATTTACCCTCATTACCCTGCCTTTTCTACATTATCATGCTGGGGGGGGAGTACATATAAGTGTTCCTCATGTCTCTAACCTGTGTTTTACTTTGCCTTTTTTAGGCCATAAATACACGTTTGGTTCCAGAAGTCATAAGCACAGTATTTGTAAAAAAGACTAAGTCTGGGGACTCAGTCAGGTGAGAGATAAAGTACTACTGATGGGGTGTCAGGAAGAGCTCAGACCAAGAAAGGCAGAGTCCCTGGCCACAGCAGCCACTGGCCAGCTTTTGCTACACAATGTGCCATCAATGGCAGTGCCATCAAGTTCCTAGCAACTTTGCCACCCTTGCTGTAAACATTATACAATCCTTAATAAAATATCTGCATTACAAAATCATATTGCCCTAAATTCCTCTTTTATCTGAATATTGTTTTGTGTGCAAGTTCAGCAGTCCAGCCGTGCTCCTTCCTACCATCCCATTGTGACAAAAAAGTCAGTGATTTACAGGAATGCTCTAATTTTGCATGATGGTGTTTTGCTCAGTTTTTCCCTGCCTACAAATTGTACTTTTCCCTGGCTCTTCTGGCTCTCTTTGGGAGCAGCAGACCTCCAAATGTGGGTAGGTCTGACAGGAAAACCCACTGGGGTCTTCCTCATTCAGCTGTTTGTTCCACTGTGCTATGGAAGTTTTCTCCAACCCCCCTGTAAGTGCAGTGATTGCTGGCATTGGACCTGAACAAGCATGCCAGGTGATTTTTATGCTCCCTTGCAACCCAACTCATTCTAGGATTCTGCTTTTCAGCTGCCAAAAAAAAACACTGAGGCTTAAAGAATTGCAAGGGGAGCAACCTCCCCTGGAGTGCTTTGCTGAGCACTCGGGCAGACTTTTCATCCTGATTTGATCAGGTAGCTCCTGGAGGCTCATTCTGTGTATCAGTGAAATAAAAAGGACTGCTGAGGGTTCACTGTGTTCTCCAGCTGAGACTCGGATGGCACAGAGCGGGCACAGAGAGCGGGCACCGGCACAGAGCGGGCACAGAGCGGGCACCGGCACACAGAGCAGCCCAGTCCCGGCACAGCGCGCACCGCTGCCCGCGGCACCGCGCGACGGCTCCGCTTCCCCCGAGGGCAGGAGAGCACCACCAGCTGCAAAACTGCCAAACCGCCCATTCCCCTCCACAAACCATTTCTTGATGTGCCAGAGCTATCAGCCAATTCCCTTATAGGGATCATTCATCCTCCAACCATTTCCTCCATCCTCTCCTATTCCCACCGTCTTCACGATGGCAATGGGAAAAGTTCACCTAGAAGCCTAAACCCGTAAGAGT